AGTAAAATCGCCAACCCGTGTACTCTTCAGCGTTGAACACCGATCCACTTTTGTCTCTCTATGCGCCTCAACACCATAATAACCAGTGACGGTGACGAGGGGCCCGAACAAAGGAGTCCTCGAAAGGCGGCAAAGTCCAACAGTCCCCACTAGTCCAACATTTGCACAGAAATGAAGGAAATCCTGGATATTAGTCAATTCATCCTCAACAACTTCTTCGTAACTAGCGTTTAGTTAGCTCCCCGATGCCTCAATACTCGCATTTATATGAAATGTTTTGTCCTGGGGCGCACTTGGCTCGCCTAAATACGCTCTCACCCAGGCCAGCGTCTTGGACATGCAATGTTATCCCGATGTAACCCGGAGGCCAACCTGTGTGGGGCTAGTCTAGAAGTACTTCCGGCTTCGAATTATGCTGTATTGGTATACGCACGTCGCCGTGGAGCTTGCGCTGAGATCGCCTGAGCTCACGCAATGCTGACATTTGTCTAGATTGAAGAACCACTTCACAATCCTCGGGCCACATCGCTTACAGTTTGGCGAGCAGCCCAACCTCGAGATCGATCGCGCTATGACATTTTTCAGGGAGAGTGCCTCGCGTAAGTATTGCCAGTGTTCCTAGTCATCAGTGGTCGCTTCGCGCTCATCATGACCTCCAGCCTCGGGAACATCGTGTACAAGGATGGTCGTGGCTACGGGCTTCTACCGGTTTTCGTCCAAGTCTGGCTTTGCCTGTCTGCGCTCATTTCACGGAACATCCGAGATTATGCGAATGGAATATGACCCATTCCTGAGGCGAGCTGTCGATAACCGGACAGTTACTGCTTCATTGACGGAAGTCAACACAACTCGAAGAAGTCTTGGTTCACCGTAGTACTACGAGTTTGTGTGCCGGGTAACGCGTGTCAAATTGACGGGCCTAGTTACAACACCCATAGTATCGCATATGGATTTCCACTGACACGCACGCACACAGAGGCACCAGTCACTCCCTATTCAGAACAGCAACCGGCATTTTCAGCCGAAATAGACAGACAGATAGACAGATAGACATAGAGACAGGACAATGGCCAACGACAGTATTGCACTTACACAGCACACCCAACATACCCACTGGAGGTGGGCGGGATCCATGTAGCTAAGCGCATAGTAGCGGTCCCAGTCAAGTTCCTGGGCACAACGGTAACCTGAGGTGAAGCACCGCAGCAGGAAGATTAAGCAAAGGTGTATAGTCACCAGAAATAGCGGTTGTGACAGAAATCCAAAGGCGATATAATCTGTTTGCAAAACCGCAGAGCCTCTTTCTGGGATAGTCTTCCTCTTCGGACAAGGTAATCAAACAAGTATTCATCGGAAACCTATTATAAAATAAGGTAAAGATGTCTCCGATTTGCATACGCGTCGTAAAGGCCCATCACGTGTGGATGTTCAATCAATTTCATGGTGACAAGTTCCCTTTCGACCTGTGTGGTTGTGATAATCGTATAATTGTGCGAACTACCTTGTGCAGAAAGCTTTTGCTGCCTTGATCGATGGAGGGTCTACCTCTCCCTTGCGTACGCTTACTCCAAGCGGTCAGAAGTAGTAGCACTCAACCCAGCCGCATCAAGTGGCATTGTTTCCGCTCTTCAAAGCATCTTTAGGCAGCACGGTATAGCAAACGTGCATATTACAGAGAACGGCTCTTAATCCACTCCGGTCTATTTCGTGGATTTCGGCATTCGTCTGAACATCCAGCACAAACGCTGCCTGCCGTAACAACCACAGTGGCAAGGCAGGCTGAGCCTGTAACGATACGTTGAGGCGAGCGCTTTTAAAGTAGCTTGAAGTAGAGGCTATCGATGTGATACGTCAACCAAGTCACTGCAAACCCGGCGACGTCCGTGGGTCATTGTGTAGCCGTATCTTTAATGGCCCGCAAACTACGTACGTGCATAATGCTCTCATCCTGAAAAAGATTTGCATTCTGCACCGACCGTATCCGAGAATCCCGTCATTAAAACTGACATCCCTGTGTGTACATTCACAATTAAAGAAGCGGGCACAATGAATGGGCCGAAGTTGACATTACCGCTTGTCAAGAAAGAGTAATATACGATGCACTAGTAAACGATGAAACACTGAGGTGGCATCACAACCAATTACTTCCAATATACACGAATTCCGGGGAAGAATTCTGTCACCCCGCGATGCGGCTGCACTTAGTATTGGATAATTTTGCAATTCCATTCACGAGCACAATGAAGCTCACACACACCATCGGAGGGTGAGGTCGATGTCAGCCTTCACTCTCGAGTGTGACACCAGGTAAATCACCTGCAGCTCAATATAGGGAAGAAGAGCAACACGCAGTGAATTGTTAAGAAGGAGGTGGTGTTAAGAAAATTATTTTCCAAAAATGGCTTTTTCGTGATTTGTCGGTAGTGAAACGCCAATGCAGTTTATCTGTTGGGTTATCCTGAAAGGAACTGAAATCTTTAGCAAAATTTTAAATCAGTACTTTAAACAGTCATATTTAATCAATGTAACGTTCATTGTCTTCGCCATCGCGACGAGACTGGACCTTAACGTGGTGCGATGGTTTGCGTACCCCCATGATCTATTATTTTCGATGACGTACTGCCAACGCTCAGGTCAGCTGTCGATGCGTCTCTCATAAAGCGAGTTGGACTGATTATCAAAGTATTGGGCAAGGCACATTTCGAAGCGGTCGCGGTCATCGAATTGTTTGCCTTGATGTGATTGTGTAGCGATTAGCTAAGGTGGCAGTCAGTAGGTACAAGGTCCGGACTATATGCTGGGTGCACGAGGGTTTCAACATTGACCTAGTGAATCTTGAGATGCCGCTTCTTTGTCCCATGAGGATGTGCGTTGTCATGTAGAATGATTCAAGCCACGGTTGAACTATTACGGTTTCAGTCTAGCATATTTTGCAGTCGTTGTCAGTAGGTGTCGGCAGTCACGGTGGAATTGTCAGACAGCAGTTCCCAATAGATGACGCCGCGGTGATCCCATCAAATCGACGGCATCACTTCTTACTGTGAAGTCCACAATTCGGGACTTATACTGACGCTTCATCTGCTGCGATTCGCTGATGCTTCCCGCTATGGTTGAGATGGAGAACTTATTTCACGTCTCTTGTAACGACATCGATGATTGCGTCCTCGGGTGAGCAATGAAATTAATGTGGCACAGCGGTCCAAAAGCTGCTCAGCAGTCAATTTGCGTGGTACAAGTTATAAGAGCTTTGGGGCCATTATGGATTGGCGCAGATGACGATAAACGGCGATTTTTAGTAAGGCAATGTGTGACTATACTCCACACTTTTTTGCCGACCCTTCTTTAGAGCGTCCTGGATGTGGTTGACAAAGTCTACTGGACTGCGTCCTTGATTTCCGGGGTTTGACAAGTTATATTTTCCTAATTAGAATTTAAAAATATATACCACCATACCACAAATTGAAATCTCTGCACCTAGAATGCCACACAGGTTTTGACAAACCTCGACCGCTATGAGCCCTTGTACGAACCGTGGACAGCATGCTGATTAGTTGCAGATACCGCAGTCAATACTAAAATGTAGGATAATTGGAAAAGGTAATATTATTGTTTCAGGGTATACCTTTATACACTAATATTAAAGAATCGTCGGGAGACCTCGGGTTTGATGCTGACAAGTTTTAACTTCATTTTGGGACAATCCAGCAAAGTTACGCACTTTCGCATGTGTCGTTCCATTTTACTTCGGAAACACTTGTTGTATGCGGATGCGCAGGAATCAAATTGCGGACCACAAAAATGCCTTTCAATCTAACTTACCTTCCATAGCGTGTGAAACTGACGGATACTAGGCCAATACGCAAGTATTCCATTAAGCGAGAGTCACCATTCCATGCAACAGTTTGGTGCACATTCGGTTATTATTATCATCACTCGATACATCAGATGATAAACAGCTCTTTTTACGAGGCGGCTGCACATCGAAAGCGAATGCCGGCTCATTCACTGTTGGTATCGTCACTTGGAACAGAAGTTTATGAAGATAGTCATCATTCTGATTACTTTAATTATGTTACGGATGCCGGAGATAAAAAGAACATGAGGGCCGCTTGTCAACCGAAACTGCCACGATGACTCACGCTTCCTCCACGATGCATTAAGTGCTACGTTTTCTACGGAACAACTTGAAGAGGTCATACTGGAATAGAATGTATTTACGTGAAATGCACATGGGCCAATGGACCTCTTGGCTGGTCTCCTGGATCCGTGCCGAAAAACATGGGTTGGAGCGTGTGGCAGTTGGGGCGAGACGAACAGTTAAGTCGCTTGTGTACAGTTGCAATGGAGGTAGAGGTCATGAGCGGAAGTGAAGGCGGAGGAAGAAACAAATTTAAAGAGCGCTCTATAAATGAGCCGGCTAAGTTTGTGGGAAGAAGCCAGCGGAGTTAAGTGGTAAACGCCTTTAGCAATTTGTGTACACCTTGGACACTGCATTCACCAATCGGAGGGGAACAGGAAGCTGCGTGGCAACCACTAGATGCGAATTTCTTGGAGAGAGCAAAAACAGCATAGGAATGCCCAAGATGGGGTTTTAGTAACTGAGGTGGCACGGTCAGCTGAAGAAGAAAACATGGTGGTTGGTAGACTCGCGGATGAATGGGAACAGGTTAAGTGAGCGGGGACTGGGAACACCACGCTGAACACATACGTGGACACAAAATAGTGCGACGGAATTTTGTTAAACTGATATGATACAGACAATTTGCGATGCAACAGCGTTGCGAAACAGACAAAAAAAAGAAGGTCTGTGGTGTAAATTTGCGCAGTGAGCTGTTTTCAATGGAGTCAGATGAGAAAATCATGCGGGAATCACAACTCAGAAGGAAATAGGCAGAAATATATCTACACCCGGAGACAAGCAATTGGGCTCTGTCAAAGCATTGTCTTGTCCGGTTCTGGAAAGAATTGGTGTATTGTAGTGATGAGGATTGATAATCCTGTCAGCCGGTGCATTCGGTTGTGTTCTCCAACGTCTTCTGGGTCACTCCATTGAGCTCAGGCACCGGGGAGGAGATCCCACGCCGGAATTGACGGGTCGGTGAAAACGGAGGGGGTTGATGAGTGCTCCCAGTGGTTCCGGAACCGCTGCTGCTGCTACTACTGGTTTCCACGCAGTCGTGTCTTGCGTTGATCCTTGACCCAACAATTTTCTACAAAGGCGAAGAGGGGGTGGGTGAAAATTACTCCCTGGCGTTAGCGCATTGCGCAGGTAATGATAAAGACATGAATTGACGACGCGTGGATAAACATGTGTGTCAAGTTCAGCACCATATCAAGGAAACATACCTAAATATCTTAGAGTGTAACCATCTCGGGTTGACTGCATTGCCTGTTGACAGTATTATTATAACTTTAATCTGTACCTCACCGACATCATAACCCAAAGGTAATTCGAAAATGGAGTTTCAAATTTACTTTCTGCGGACCGCGTTCGATGCGTTCCTAAATTTCAAGCTTACCATATAACATGTGCTGTCTGATTTATGCCTTCTCATCAGTTCAAACCTGTCAAGCTATCAACACAAGTCTTTTGGTTGGAACCCCACGGGGACTAGTCAACCCTCATCCAAACTTTGTGTGAAATAAATGAGAATATGCGTAGCTCCGGGTGTGGATGCGGATTTTGAGCGAGTTCTGCATTCAAAGCAGAACTCGATCAAAAGGCACTTGGACATTGAAGTCGCTTACGAGGCACTGCGAACCAGGCCCCTGAAACCGCACTGATGATGTTGCCTAGTCAGACAACGAAACGTCTGCACAATAATCATTCAGCTCGGAGAACCGCTCAAAATCCGCATTCAAACTTTGTCCCCAAAATCGTTAGTTAAGCGCTCGGCTCAGAAATAATCGCATAACGTGACTGGCGGTTTAGGGGGTAAAATGGAAGTAAAGTGTGTAAAGTGTGTGTAAAGTGTGTACAACGAGGAGTATGGAACCGCAGTGGGCAAAGTGATCAGGTCGCTATTGCAAAAGCCAGACCTGTAAGGACGAACGAATTAGTCTGCAAGTTCGATCAGAGAAACAGATAGCATGCACAGGGTCCACTTCGCCCTTGCGTATAAAATGGTGATTTGCAATCGAAAGCAACATCCCATACGTTGAGGGGATAAATGGGGAAGCACTACATTTTGATGTTTCCCTTTGTGGGAGTAGCCGCCCGAACCGTTCAGAGATAAAAGAAGTATTTACTTATTTGCTTACAATCTGTTTGACTCAGTGTCATGATATGTAACCCAACAGTGTTCCATCGCAATTCATAGAAGGCTTCAACAAGACGACAACACTAGTTGGAATGATAGTGACCAAAGCGGGTACTTGTCGAGTTGTCGTTGATGGATTTTTACAAAGATGATATCTCTGAGAAACGGACAAGCTTTCCATTGAAAGAGGCATACAGCGCAATAGATCTACGGCTACGTGTATAGAGGCAACTATTCCATGTGTGTTTACTGAAAGCGCCAAGGTCGAAGCAGTACACAATCCTAATTTCAGAAAGGTTTGAAAACAACCGGTTGGTATAGTTTGTGAACAGCGTTTCGCTTTTGACACAGAAACTTCGTCAGGCCGAGTGAACCAGTCAAAGATTGACATAGTACTTATAACCAACTGGAATGATAATTGCGACGAATTGGATGTAGGCAAAAGGTCATGCACGTTACAGGTCAACGCCTCACTCCAACTCGTACATGGAATGGTCACAAGTGGTCCGCACAACTGGATCACACACGTAAGCTCTGTTAACGATGGGTGCGGGGATGATGTGGTGTTCATTCGCTGCCTTGGATCCGTCCACCGGCGCTCCTCAGACTGATCGGGTTAAGACAGCTCATCACAGGCTTGAAAGCTCTGCCCCGTGCATTCTGTTCACGTATCTGTTCACCTTGCTAATCTCAACCACTTCAGCAATCAGGCAATGGGTAAGTGATCGCAATCCCTTTCTAACGATTTCGATGTTATCCAAATCGATCCCATGACCTGTACCTATCGCGTGCATCGCTACTGCAGAACTCCTTCATAAAGCCTTGCTACGCACAGACATGAAAAAGTGGATCTTACAATTTGTCCTTCTTTTGTGGTCCTCCCTTGAGTTGACTTAACATCCCAAGATTTGTTGTAAAGCCTGTCATACTGTGTCTGCAACGCTGAGCTCAGTCGATTTGCGTGGAGGCGGAGTTCACACAGGCGTTGAGTCGTCAGATAAATCCGTTGTCTCAAGAATGCTTTACTCGCGTTGAAAGCGATTGGCAACTGAATTCGTTCGATTGGCTGGCTGGCCTCGAAGCTAATTGGGAGAATCGTCGCGTTTTCAACATCAGTTGCCTCAAAAACAACATCCTACCCCAAAACCTTGAAGACAAATCACCAAACAACTCTTATACTTCTGTCAAAATTGTTTTCAACACGATTAAAGCATTCTTGTAAAAACGGGTTTAGCTGACGACTCGTCGCCTCCAAGCAAATTGACTGAACTCGGAGTTGCAGACTATCGGAACGCAGGCAGACTATGGCAGGCTTACAACAAAGCTTCAGATGCTAAGTCAATGCAAGGGAGGACCACAAAAAAGGACAAATCCGTAAGCTCCACTTTTGATGTCAGTACGTAGCAAGGCCACCGGTCCAATTAGGAGACCTGTACCTAGCAGCAGATATTGTGAAGTAGTTAATACTTCAGTGTTGTATGAGACAGAGCGTAGACTACTGGAGAAGGATTTGGCATGTACTATCAATAAATCCAAGAGTACAAGTTGTTCCTGGTGTTGAAACTGCTTTAACGAAGTTCCCCGCTTCAACGGCTGAGCATATTCGAGCAGAGCTTGTAAAGATTATAAAATTTCAGCAGCCAGGGAGCCGAATCTTGCGCCAGTGGAACGTGTCGCATTAACTGTCCTAAAAGAAGATCCGAACATTGTTACCATAAAAGCCGATAAAAGCAAAAGCACAGTGATAATGGACAACTCAGATTATTTGGAAAATATGGAGGCGCACGTGGTGACGGGACCATATAAGGTTATCGGCAGTAAGACCGTCATGTCAGTGATGAATAAGACAGAGGTTGGAAATTACTTAAAAAACGTAAAGTGGCATCTAGGATCGGGAAAATGCTACAATATATATCCGAAATAATCTCTTCCACCAAGAGTGTATGGCTTACTGAAGACACATAAGTCTGATGTACCCTTACAAACTATTGTAGCTGGCATAGGTTCCCCGACGCATGAAGTAGCTAGATATTTGATTGGCATATTGCAACCCTGGACAGAGAAAACGAATACGTTCGTAAAGAACTCCTATATAACTTTGCGCGAAAGTTATCGGATTTTGAGATTGCACCGGATGAAATGATTGTCAGTTTCGACGTTACCTCGCTCTTTATTAACATGCCAATACGCGACGCTTTGGAGATAGCGAAACAGAGTCTAACTGGAGACAGTAATATGAGAGAGAGGACAAAGCTTGCGGTAGATCAAATAACGGAATGAATGAAATTATGCCTTAACATGTCTTATTTCACGTTCCAACCTAGATTATACACTCAGGAATAGGGACTTACCATGGGATCGCTAATACACCCTGTATTGGCAAATCTGTACATGGAAGTATTTGTAAGGAGGGCACTGACTGACTCTCGTAGCTCACTGAAAATTTGGTGGCGCTACGTGGATGACACCTTTGTTATCGTAAAACGGGATAAGAAAGACGAGTTTCTAAACCGCTTGAACACTCTTGCAGAGACTATAAATTTCACTATGGAATTGGAATCTGGCAATGGGACATTGCCATTCCTTGACTGCTTAGTTCACAGGAATGGGGTAGTCTAAAAACAACGATATATCGTAAGCCGACGGACACAGATGGTGTACTCCACTATAGTTCAGGTCACCCAAAGCATGTGTATGCTGGAATCGCCTCATCTCTGTTTCACAGAGCCCAGACCCTGTGCACAGAGGAAGAAGATAGGAAGGCCGCCCGGAAAGAAGCAATGAACCAATTGCTTGGTAGTGGATACCCGAGGCGGTTAGTGAAACGCCAGTTGCAGCGAATTTTAAATCCTCACCCACAGCGTACTACGGAGTAGATTGGGACGATGGGTAATCCTTATAAAGATGGAACTTTGGAGGCCATTCGGAGGGTTCAAAATAAAGAAAATATAAGGGTACTTTTTCAGCAAAGCTAGACACTCCGCCCTACACTGGTGCACTTAAAAGACCCAGTTCCCACAGATAGGACACAAAATTGCGTCTACAAATTAGTTGCAAAGCCTGCGCACACGTGTACAGCGGCCAAACTGCGAGAGAGCTATGCAAAAGGACAACAGAAGACAAGAGACAAATAACACGGCCACTGAGAAACGAGCTAGAATATATGGATCTACTAAGGAGTTCTGCAGTAGCGATGCACGCGATAGATGCAGGTCATGGAATCGATTTGGATAACGTCGAAATCGTTAGAAAGGGATTGCGATCAACTACCCATTGCCTGATTGCTGAAGTGCTTGAGATTAGCAAGGTGAACAGATACGTGAACAGAATGCACGGGGCAGAGCTTTCGAGCCTGTGGTGAGCTGTCTTAACCCGATCAGTCTGAGGAGCGCCGGCCGACGGATCCAACGCAGCGAATGAACACCACATCATCCCCGCACTCATTGTTAATAGAGCTTACGTGTGTGATGTAGTTGTGCGGACCACTTGTGACCATTCCATGTACGAGTTGGAGTGAGGCGTTGATCTGTAACGTGCATGACCTTTTGCCTACATCCAATTAGTCGCAATTATCATCCCAGTTGGCTATAACTGCTATGCCAATCCTCGACTTGTTCACTCGGCCTGACGAAGTTTCTGTGTCAAAATCGAAACGCTGTTCACAAACTATACCAACCGGCTGTTTTCAAACCTTCCTGAATCATGAGTTCTTGATCGTTTCCAAGTATTTTCCAAGTTGTTCGTTACACATTTCATTCACTTGCACCTATGGAGACCACTGGGCTGAGCGTAATGGTCGAAGTCTGGGCGACCGAGTGAGCGATCACTTTCCAATGTGTATGCATAAACAGAGCGGATATGAGGGTTAAGGAGTGCAGATAGAGAAGCAGGTTGACGCAGCAATCGTAAGGCCTTTAGTAAACACAGATTATGGCCCTGCAGAGAATAAG